TGTACGAACATATAAACTGCACTGATACACCCGATAAGTTATGCAATACATATATTACAAATAACCCACTCCTATTTTTTTCTTATTTTCATTCACAGCGTTATGACACACTTGTTGGTGAAAGAGGAGCTGCTTTGTCTGGTGGACAAAAACAGAGAATAGCTATTGCCAGGGCATTGGTCAGGGATCCTAAAATATTGTTATTAGATGAAGCGACTTCAGCACTTGATACAGAAAGTGAAGCAACTGTACAAGTTGCATTGGATAAGGTAATTCTAGCTTCTTTAATCAGTATAGATAACATTATCTTTGTGATTGGCCATAAATTATACGTACCATTATACTGTATTATATTTTCACCATGTATAAGGGAAGCCACTTTGACGATTGCCTATAGTTTGTCTAGCATATTGTTCATATACTATTATCTCACCATAGGCCAGTGTAGGAAGAACTACTTTAGTGATTGCCCATAGTTTGTCTAGCATATTGTTCATACCCTATTATATCACCATAGGCCAGTGTAGGAAGAACTACTTTGGTGATTGCCCATAGATTGTCTAGCATATTGTTCATATATTATTATGTCACCATATGCCAGTGTAGGAAGAACTACTTTGGTGATTGCCCATAGTTTGTCTAGCATATTGTCCATATCCTATTATCTCACCATAGGCCAGTGTAGGAAGAACAACTTTGGCGATTGCCCAAAGATTGTCTAGCACATTGTCCATATACTATTATCTCACCATAGGCCAGTGTAGGAAGAACTACTTTGGTGATTGCCCATAGTTTGTCTAGCATATTGTTCATATACTATTATCTCACCATAGGCCAGTGTAGGAAGAACTACTTTGGTGATTGCCCATAGATCGTCTAGCATATTGTCCATATCCTATTATCTCACCATAGGCCAGTGTAGAAAGAACTACTTTGGTGATTGCCCATAGTTTGTCTAGCATATTGTTCATACCCTATTATATCACCATAGGCCAGTGTAGGAAGAACTACTTTGGTGATTGCCCATAGATTGTCTAGCATATTGTTCATATATTATTATGTCACCATATGCCAGTGTAGGAAGAACTACTTTG